GCTACCTCTCGAAATAAGGCCACCAGGTGGGGACCACGTGTGCGACACATGACCTTACGGGGAACATTTCATAGTCATACCATAACAAGGGCATGAGAGCGGTGTCCCACATATGAATTAACCCCGTCATTCAGGAATGAGCTTATTATTGAAGAGTGAGTTTGGGGTCCCTTTCTGTCTCAGGATAAAGCAGCTTGGAAAGTCCATTTCAATTCTCTTTGCATCGTGTGTTTCCTTAAAGAATTTCTGCTGGGGAATGGCTGTCCTTGCTCCTGGGTGGCAGGTTTGTTTGAAACATGGAGTTATTTATGTATTGTACCCAAACTTCCTTCTTTTCCCTCAGCAACAAACCATTCAGATTCAATAATTCAGGAAACAAACCCAGTGTTGTGTAAATGGCTAATTCCCTGGGAGCTGGAGAGCACACCTGCCTAGGAGCAAATGGTACCCAGGGTACCGGAGGGTCTCTCAGTTTCCACTTATCCTTCTGGGATGTGTCTTCACTGCAAATGGATGTACTTCAGTGCTATAAGGTTCCGAGGTGCGGTGGGTTCTACCTTTGCTCACCTGAGGCCTGAGGCATTTCTGGGTGTAAAGACAAGTTAGACAGAGAAGCCAATGTTACATCAGGAGCGGGCTTCAAACTGCTTACCTGACTCTCACTTCCCATCTCTAAGGGGAGGAGGGGAGGAAAAGAGGAGAGGTATGACCAGAAGAGGCAGGAAGAGAGCCAAGTGCCTACTTATCTGTGAAGTGACACTTCCTAGAAACAGGAGAAAGGGAACAGGAGAGACACCCCCCACCACCACTCCCTCCTCCAGAAAAAGGACAAATGAAATGGGATCAAAAGGGTCTTGGAGATTTGGGTGCCAGACCTATGGGGATAAATAAAATTTAAAGGGGGGAGATTATGGTGCTAGGAGAGGGTAGGTCATCAGAGAATCTGGCACACCTGAGAAGGGGGAGGCACGTGTGGGTAAATCAAACAGTTACAGGTGCCTACAGTCCTGATGCTCCTCCTGCCTCACAGAAAGCTCAGTTTCCCCCAATGGGGGTAACCATTAAAAGCTCAGGAGGCGGGCCTACTGGGACCCCCCCCCCCATGTAAATGTACTAAACTGTACTATCTAGAACCTACAAGGGAAAACCAATCCAGCGTTCACCTCCAAACATGAGCTGGGCCTACCGTCCGTCCATAAATCAAACCTCAGCTGGTGGAGCGACAGGCTAGAAGGCAGTGGAGTGATGGGCACACTACACACAAATGCTTAAATACCAGGGTACTCTGTGTCCTCCCCCGCCCCGGCCCCTTTTGACTATGGATATTTATTTCTCTGTCCATAAAAAAAAATAATACCCGGAGTAAGTATCAAGTCCGAAAGAATCTTTAAATTGAACTGGAGAGGAGTGCCCATGTGGAGACAGGAGTAACTACACCTTACAGTCCCTGAAGTCTTCAGACAAAAACAAAAGCCCTTGGCTAGATTAAGCCCACCTGGAGTTATCTTCCTGCAATAAGGAAAGCCTGGCAGACTCCGTAAAGGATCCTGTAAATCCCTGGGCTTAAAGCAAGGGTTTGCCCCCTTTAAGCACAAGTGAGACCCAAAGAGAGACCAGACCAGACTCACGTCTGAGTACTGCCTTTGCATCCATCGCTCTCCTGAATCTTAAATACTCATAAACCACATTGTCAGATTATAAAGAGACACGCCTAGATCTATTTCTGGTATTGCAGAATAGTATTTGGCTATGTGTCTTCCCTTGAAAAGGAAAAGGGGATCTGATGCAGGTCGTATAGCCAGCAATCACAAATGAGCAGTCGCTGGGCCACAGTAGTATCGCCCAAAATTATGATGATGATGATCATGATAATAATAATAATTGACCACTTTTAAGGATGTGTGTGTGTGTGTGTGTGTGTGTGTGTGTGTGTGAACTAAGTAAATTGATTTAATCAGGCCCCTATCTATCCCTGGCGGTTACAAGGTTCTCGGGAGTCCACGCCTCTGCCCCTAGGGCCTCCCTGCTCAGGCAACGACAGCTCTGGTCTAGTTCATTTCGCCACAGCCCCAAATCGCGGAAAGCAAAGATTAAAGGCGAAAGTCACAGCTGTGTATTTATATTTTCATTGCTAGAAGGGAATTGATTTCCGTGCATTTATTTTGGAAGTTGTAATACAGAAGGGCGGATTTGCGTCACCACAGCAACTTGCCGGTGGAGATAAAGTCGCACAAATATTGAAAGGGGAAGTGCTAGGAGTCATTATAGAGTTTTTCTCCGGAAGAAATAAGGATTTCTGCTGTATCCTAAAATACTAGGACCGCTTCTATTTTGAGACCAATCTCGCAGGCATATCCGCTCATTTAGTCCAAGTTTGAGCCCATCAAAAAAACAGGAGATGACCTGAACTCCGGCGAGCCCTGGGTTTCCTGCTGCTTTCTTGGTTCTGAAGGGCAGGGGGGGAAAGAGGAGGGCAGTGTGGGGCTCCCTGCATCCCTGCAAGGCGAGTGGCCTGCAGGGGTGGGGCTTGAGCCTGGGGCAAGAAAGACCCACCGACTCAAAGGCTTCCTTTTTCTTTCTCCTTTCTTTTTTCTCTTTCTTTCTTTCTTTCTTTCTTTCTTTCTTTCTTTCTTTCTTTCCTTCCTTCCTTCCTTCCTTCCTTCCTTCCTTCTTTCTTTCTTTCTTTCTTTCTTTCTTTCTTTCTTTTCTCTCTCTTCTTTTTTTCTCCTTTTGCCCCCCCCACCACCACCACACAGACACCGAGCTTCGATTAGGCCTTGGGTAGTGGGTGAGGCTGCGGCTGGGTTGCGGAGATTGTAATGAAGCTACCTGCAGGTCTGGGAAAACGGAGGATTACTCCCGCTCCAACACAATACAGCTTGTATTTTAGCCCTTGCAATCTAGCCTTTGAGCCGCGGGGCACTCCTGGCTTCTAAGTGCCGCAGATCCGTTGGTGGACGCCGCCAGATAATTAGAGCTACCGGGTTCTGCACTCACTCCTCCCGCTCAGCGGGTCTCCAGTGGGCGCAAAGAGAAGAAAGGGGTAGGAGCCCTATGTCTAAGGGAGAAGGTGAGGATGCAGGCCTCTGGGTGAAGCGTTAAACCTGTCTGAGCACGGACTTTGGTCTAGGCCGCTCACTGGACGTCCGCGGTCAAACTGGAATCGCAACGGAGAATCACAAGGCTTCTAGAAAAGAGACGCAGGAGCAGCTAGGCTAGTGCCTTCCTTAGCACTCGGTGAAATTAATGAAACTGTTCTCTTCGTCTCATCACACTAGAACCTTTAGCCAAAGTCTCAACTCCGGTGGCCTTGTGCTTGTCACAAGTCCATCCCCTGCTAGACATGCCTTCCGGCCCCTCTCGTCCCAGGCACGGCTGCCTTCAACTGTCTATACCCCAAACTCTCATAGTACCCCTGTCCCTGATGCTGGGAGTTAGGGTCCCGGGAGCGTTTCTGTGAGAGAGGTGTGTGTGTGGGGGGGGGGGGCGGGGAGCAGGGTGGAAAGCGAGGAAAAGACCGGGGAGGTGGGGAGGAAAGAGAGGAAGAATCTCAGTGGCTGCCGATCCTGTGATTGATTAGCCATTAATTGCGGTCCAGGAGAAAGGCAACCGCTAACGTGACAACATCGCTGAGGGAGGCCACGAAGATGCTAGACTTTAACTCGGGAGCCCACTCCAGCCCTGAACTAATAATAGCCTGGTACCTTCCCTTGCATTTTCGGGTTTAACTGGCATCTTAGAGCTGAGGGGAAATAAGCGTGCCTTGGAATCTCATTTAAGAGACTCTTATTTGGACAATCGAAAACAAAAAATTTGATGGTTTCGTTATTGTCGTTATTTTATTTTCTTCCTGAAAATGTACAAGAACAGCTCATCCGGGTGGCCTGTGGTCGGTTTGGGAGCGGGGCGGGGAAATCCATTCTGACTATAATTTAAAAGAGAACGAATTCTTAAAATAGAGATGTTAATGCAACAGAAAACCCCCACTCACACCTACCCTAAGTTCTAAAGACCCTGGCTAAAATGGAAGGCTCTGGCTACGGCGGCTAGGGCAGTGCCTACTGCCAATAGGCCAAAGCGGATCCTGGAAAAACTGCCACCGAATTGAAAGTGGGTATTTATTCTCAAAGGCAACCGCTCCCTGGCACTTGCAAAATATCGGACCACGTGACCCGGGGTTGTGGTGGCCGCAAAGGGTGGCACTTCCTACAAGGTGCAGGGAGGGGACGCGCGTGCTGCTCTCCAGGGCCTGGCGAGAAAGCCCGTTTTGTTGTTTCCAAGTCTCGGGGCAAAAGTATAAGGGAGATGTTTGGAGCCATCTATCTTATTTTGTTTGAAAAGTCACTCTTTCAAGTTGTCACTGGAATGACAGCTCAGAATAAAACTAATTTGCGGCCGGCCCTCCTTCTGGCTTCTCTTGGGCTCCTATGAGCTCAGTGGCAGACGGATTGCAGATTTGGGCTGGGGTTCTGGGTTACAGGGGCCCGGAAAAGATGAGGCCTTTGTCTAGGACACTAGCACTTGGGATAAAATCAGAGAGAAGAAGAATCGCGTGAAAGCAGGATATAGAAGGGACAGCCTATGGGCGTTCCGCGCGGTCTGCTCAGGAGGTGAGAGAGAAGTTGTTCACTACTGCCGAGCATGGGAGCCCCAGAGCTCCCCTCCTTCTCGGCAGCTCCAGAAAAACTCCTGAGACCGACTCCTTTCTCCCGGTGGCAGGTCCCCGAGCCGCAGGGGGATAAAGGACAGCCAGAGGCCGGAGGAGCCGACTCTCCGCCCCTAAGCGGCACCGAGGGACTCACAGTACTGGGCTCAGCCCACGCGGCCGCAGAAAACACTTTGGTGTGGCCAGGGCGTGGCTAAGGGCGGGGCACGCCCCTTCTTTCCCAATTCCCCTCCACTCCCGAGTCCCATTGGTCACAAAGACGTCCAATAAGCGCACGGATCAAGGTCCTACCCCGGGTCTGACACGAAAGCTCCTGCCAAAACTTTGGGAGTTTTTAGAGAGGAGTTTTTTTTTTTTTTCTTTTTTTTTTCTTTTTTTTCCTTCTTATTTTTTTAAACTAACGGATCATTATTGTTGTTTTAAATTTAGTTCTTAGAGCTTAGCTGTTTGGGTTTTTCTTTCGGTGTCGGGCCCCAGTCTCCCCGGTTTCTCCGGAGTAGCAGAGCGAGGCCGCACCCGCCTCGCCGCTCCAGTACCCGGCGATCGCCTCCATCCCACGGGGAGCGCGCTCGCCGCACCGCCTTTCAAGCCAGGCCAGGGGCCCAGGCGGTGGCGGGAGGCGACCGGGCCCTCGCCTCCTCTCTCGGTGGCGCTAGGGCTCCCCGCTGGCCCTGGGCTTCAGTGCGGGCGGAGAACCGAAAGCAGACCGGGCTTGGCTGGGACACCGTCTCTCCCCGGGCACCCACCCACTTACCCACTCACCCAGGACCCCGCCAGGATCCTGCCAGGATGTTCGCGGCCGGCCTGGCTCCCTTCTACGCTTCCAACTTTAGTCTCTGGTCAGCCGCGTACTGTTCCTCTGCCGGCGGCCCGGGCGGCTGCTCCTTCCCCTTGGACCCAGCGGCTGTCAAGAAGCCCTCTTTCTGCATCGCGGACATCCTGCATGCCGGCGTCGGGGAGCCGGGGCCCGCTGCAGAGGGACTCGTGGGGGCCTCGGCCGCCCTCACCGCGCACTTGGGTTCCGTGCACCCGCACGCCTCCTTCCAAGCTGCCACCAGATCCCCGCTGCGTCCCACCCCGGTGGTGGCGCCCTCAGAAGTGCCGACAGGCTTCCCTCAGCGGCTGTCCCCGCTCTCGGCTGCCTACCACCAGCATCTCCCGCAGCAACAACAGACGCAGCAGCAACAGTCACAGCCACAGCCTCCGCCTCCACCCCGGGCGGGCTCCCTGCAGCCACCGGCTTCAGGGACCCGAGTGGTCCCCCACCATAGCGGCTCCGCCCCTGCCCCCTCCAGCAAAGACCTCAAATTTGGAATCGACCGAATTTTGTCTGCAGAATTTGACCCAAAAGTCAAGGAAGGCAACACGTTGAGAGGTACGTCCTGGGTGACAGGCTTCAGGCCTCATAACCACTCATGAGGGCCCTGATCCCGTGCGGGTTTTGGGTACTTTTTACATTTAAGGACAAATCAGTAGAATGAGGGAAAAGAAAACGAATTGTAAGAAAACTTATGTGACATTTAAAACTCAACTACTCTATGTAAAAAGTGATTCTCGGATGCTTACACAGCACACAACGGGTATCAACACTATTCCTGTAAACTTTTGCAAAAGTGGGTGGGTATAAACTATCTTTTGAATGACGTGTCTACAGAAACACATAGGCCTTTCTCACGGGGAAATCTCAGCGTGGGGACATTTTGCTTTAATTTGATTTCCAGTAAAATTCTTCCTAAGAATTGTGGGGAAGTAAAACTGCTGGTCTAAGCTACTGAGGGAAGACGGCAGAGTGAGGGGCCTACCGCCTTATGACCATTTTATGAAAAGCTTTTTCTTGCTGTGGGGTGGACTGGACGTGATTGACACACACAGGGGCAGTTCAGGCCCCACCCTTGGCGGCTGCCCTGCCGGGGAAAGTGCTTTCTGTGCATACGGGGTCTTTCTTGACTTCGCTTGCCTAAAACTGGAGCAAAGGAGAAGGGAAGGGTGAAAGAACTCTGCCCGGAGGATATGAGTTTGTCCACGGTGTAACCAAACTCTTCTTACCCCCTCCCCAGATCTCACGTCGCTGCTAACTGGTGGGCGGCCTGCAGGGGTGCACCTCGCTGGCCTGCAGCCTTCGGCTGGACAGTTCTTCGCATCTCTAGATCCCATTAACGAGGCGTCTGCTATCCTCAGCCCCTTAAGCTCCAACCCAAGAAATTCTGTTCAGCATCAATTCCAAGACACGTTTCCAGGTAGAAAACTTCCCGAGTTCAATCCGTGAGCCTGGTGGCGAGCGACCGACCCTTAGATACCTTAGTCTGATGCCGCAGCATCAAAACCCCATAGTTGGGGAAGAAGCCTTAGTCCTAGGAGAGACCGAGAAACTGTCCTAGTGGGACACTTTGGAGAGGAGAGGAGAATCAAGATATATCGGCGTGGGTCCCTGTCCCTATTCTTTTCGCCCAGAGAGGGTGATTTGAAGACACACACACACACACACACACACACACACACACACACGGGGGGGGGGGAGTTTTGCTTGACTGGTTACATCTTCTCTGAAAGACAAATGCGTGGAGTATAGGGCTGTCACTAGCAGGTAATTCAGACCCCAGGTACAGTTCCAACTATTTTAACATGTCTGGTGACTGTGCATCTAGTTTATGAATTTCTCTTGAGCGAATCCACGGATCTCCGATTCTTCCTGGCTTTAGGCCTAAAGTGGTTCTGCGAAAAGTCTGTTTTCAAAAAAAGTCCTTAGGCCATTCTCGCACAAGCAAAAGGAGCTGGGAGGCGAATGTGAACTCAAAACACCTTTAAATACCTAGGAGAACCAGAGGCGCCCAGGCTGCGGCCCTAACACTAACTAGGCCCTAAACCTCTTTGTCTCTTCCTGCTGGTTGGCAGGTCCCTATGCTGTGCTCACCAAGGACACCATGCCGCAGACGTACAAGCGGAAGCGCTCCTGGTCCCGTGCGGTCTTTTCCAATCTGCAAAGGAAAGGCCTGGAGAAGAGGTTTGAGATTCAGAAGTACGTGACGAAGCCAGACCGAAAGCAGCTGGCAGCGATGCTGGGACTCACCGATGCTCAGGTAAGCCACTGGCAGGGTGTCCTCCCGCAGGCAGTAAATGATAAACAAGGCGGGCGGGACCCGCAGGCCTCCTCCTCCAGGACTACTCACCTTCAGCAATCAAAACACAAGGTCTTGAACTTGCGAGACTTTGTGGTGTTGCAACTCACAGCCTGAGGAGAGGTGGGTAGGGGTGGAGGTGGAGGAGGCGGACAGAGAGAATAGCCCATTCCTGAAGATGTATGTCAACAAGCATCGAGTGTTTATTTTGGCCAAGAGGCCAAAGAACCGCGGAGAAAGCGAAAAGGAGATGGCAATTATGCACTCGACTGGAGTGCGCCTCGCTGTCGGAGGCAGTTTGTTTCAGAAGAGAAAAACCCAAAGTCGATAGATCACTGTGGGTCCCTGCCTTCCTTCACAGGATTGTGAAATCCCACTTGTGAGGAACTGAAAATATAATTTCAAACGGAATGACTTCGGAGTTGCTTTAAGACAGGGTTTGAGTTTGGAGCAGCCACAGTCCCACTTTCTAACTAACAGCCCAGTCTCTGAAGATAGTATCTGTTGGCAACGGGGCTGATTGAGAGAAAGAAGAAAGATTTTCTTACAGTGTCCAAGAACGTTTTTTTTAAGTAGGTCCTGCCCACTTGATTTAAAAAAGAAAGGAAGAAGGAAGGAAGGAAGGAAGAGACAATAGGAATCTTTTGTCCGGGAACTTTTTTCTTTCTCAGTTTCATGAATTAAGAGTTTCATTTTGCTTTCTCCGACTACACTCTTTTTGTTCTGCACTCTTGTTGCTTCAGTGCGGACTCCCACAGAGCAGAAGCCAAAGCAGGATCTCTCTCTCTCTCTCTCTCTCTCTCTCTCTCTCTCTCTCTCTCTCCCCCCCCCCCCTGGTTCGGACTTCTGTCCTTGTGTCTTTCTGTTCTCCATTACACAACACGCTTCCTCAGCACACAGAGATGGACTGGAAAGCCTGGCCGCTTTCTACCAGCTATGCACGTTGTTTTTAAAGGGGAAGCTGAAACTTGTGTGAATGTGTTGGGTCCCCCAGAGGATCATGGATTTATATAGATTCTCCATCCATCTCTTCCCCATTCCTATAAGCTGCGTATTTAATTCCAATATTTTCTGAGCCCCAGGAGAATACGGTTGTCTCTCACAAAAATAGGGTCTGTGTCAATTCTTAGGTAAAAATGTGCTCAGGCGATTCTCCTTTACTTAAAGCCCAGCAGGTGCCCATTCTAATGGGATTAATTCTTTGAGTCCCTTGCCCCTTTGTTCACTTCCTCCTTAAAACAGCCAAGGGCTGTGATCTGAGTACTCAGGAGGCAGAAGAAGGAGGATCTCAAGTTCAAAGCCAGCCTGGTTCAAAAGAAACCCCGTCTCAAAAATCCTAAGGGATTGGGGTTGTACAGTTAGTTTTTGTGGTGAATTACTTAGTGAATGCTTAGGGATGAGAGGGACCTCAGAAGTTCTTAATATTGGCTCTCACCAAAACCTTGGCTTTGCGTACACAATAGGGATATATATGTGTGTGTGTGTGTGTGTGTGTGTGTGTGTGTGTGTGTGTGTGTATGCAATTTGGGGGTCAGGACTCCTTACTTTTAATCAGTTCTACAGGAGTCCTGAGTTTGGTGAGATTACAAAGCAATTTGCAAGAAACCCGTCCTTCACTTGCACGCAGGGCATTTCAGTCTTGCGATACGAGGGCCATATTTAAAGAATAGTCCCTAGTGGCTTGGGCGGGTTTCACCTCTTAGATAGTTCCTGGATATTTATGTTTAGTTAAGCAGTCTGGGTTCTGGAGGCATAATGAGTGTCCGCCGCGCTATCTTGCCGTAGGGGGCTAACTCCAGGTGTATCAATCTGGTTATTTATCTCGCATCTCTTTTGATGTTGCACGTAGGTGAAGGTGTGGTTCCAGAACCGGAGGATGAAGTGGAGACACTCTAAGGAGGCTCAGGCGCAAAAGGACAAGGACAAGGAAGTCAGCGAAAAGCCTTCTGGAGGAGCCCCCGCCGAGGGCGAACTGGAAGAGAGAAGCCCCAGCCGTTCCGAAGGCGAGGCCGAGAGCGAGAGCAGTGACTCGGAGTCCCTGGACATGGCCCCCAGCGACACGGAACGGACTGAGGGGACTGAGCGGTCCCTGCACCAAACTACGGTCATCAAGGCCTCCGCCGCCGGCGCCCTTCTCACAACCAGCAGCAGTGCCAGCGGTGGCAGCTTCAGCTTCAGCAGCCTGGGTAGCAACAACACCGGCGCGGGGAGTGCCAACAGCCTTGGCGGGAGCAGCTCGGAGCTGCTCCCCGCGCACCAGCCCTCAGTCACCAGCAATCCCCAGAGTCCGGAGCCTGCCCAAGCCCCGCTTGCAGGCTTATAGACTGAACCAAGGGTGCTTATGGCATGGCATGGCGTGGCATGCAACTTCCCCATCACTGGCTGGAGTTTGTGTCTACTTTAGTTGGTGGCAAGGGTCGCCGAGATGGGAGACGCCAAGGGCAGCTTCTTGGGGTTCACACCCTTTCTTTTGCTGCCTAGGCTGCCTGAGGCCTACAGCTCCCAAAAGAGAGGAAAGTTTTGAGGTTCCCCTGCCAAAGAATGCAACTGTTCCCCCTACCCAAGCAGCCCACACTGTGAAGTGTTTGATGGAACTGTTGCTCTGAGCACCAGGGGTCTTGGCATAAGGACTTGCTGCACTTAGAAGGCCTTTAACTTGTAAATAAAATGTTTACTACAGTTTGTAAAGGCCGTTTGGCTTGCTGGCTTGCTAGGGTATGGAGGTTGTTAAGTATCAAAGATGGGGGGACCAGTACTTTATCCCTGAGACACAGCAGATGGCAACATCTGGAGGAGGGAAAAGCAGCCCCAGTGTCAAAGATAGAGACCCCCACAGAGACCCCCGCGGGGTGGTAGAGGTTTCACCCAGCATCGAAGTCCTTGACAACCCCCACCTATGACTGCCTGGGTGCGAGGCCCGCTATGAAACAGAATATAGAATCTTAGGCCTGTTCTGCAGATGGCTTTCCTAAGCAGGGTCGAGATGCCGTGAGCATGCTTGCCTGCGTTCCCCGTGGCTGCGGAGAGCTCGGAGTTAGAGTGGAATCCGCTCTGCTGTGGAGCAGAAATCCAACCAGACCCATCCGTGCTCACCAGGCCTTTGCTAGGCTTCCAGTCAGGAGGCTGGGGGCTGTCCCAGTGCAACTGCGCAATGGGGAGGTAGGGAAACCCAAGGCGATGTCTGGTAAGAAAAGGGCCGAAGGACCACAAGAATTAGGGACTGGAGACGAGGTCTTCCAAGTGCCAAGGCTCTGCTTTTAAAGAGGCTCATGTAATTGGGCAGTAATGAGGTGACTTTGAATGTTAGACAGAGGTGAAGCCAGCTGTGGATCTCCTGGCCCATGTTTGTTGAGAGGATCTAGGCAATATACTTAGCACTACTCCCCCTGAACCCAGATAAAATCTTCCTTTGCCTTTCTTCCCCTGAAGGCACCCACTACAGGCAGTGGGGAGTTAGGCCTTAGTGTGGATTACAGTAGGGCGCGTTAATGCAGCCAGGAGGAGGATGAATACTGGAAGGGCCTTTCTTTTAAAACGTGAAGCCTTTTTTTACAACCTATGTCCTTCCCACCGCCTTTGCGGGGAAACGATGTGAGAACGTTAAGATAGTAACCGTCTTTGGGAGGAAACTGAAACAGCGGTAACAAGGACAACAACAGAAACAGATGTCCCAGGCAGTTTTTGGCACAGAGCAGTGCCAGGGCACAAGTCCTCGTAGAAATACAGCATCTAATTCGGGAATTCCTCCTGCCCAAGGAAGGGAGGAAAAGTGCTGCGGCCAGGGATCCTGGGAGGCAACTCTTCTCCTGAAGGAATGGCAAGTTTGCCGCTGCTCAGCCTGCATGTCGCTGATCTTCTCCTCCGCTTGGATCCGTCATTCCCTGGAGCTACTTCCTGGATTTTTTGCTCTGGACCTGTGTGACCCAGGACCGGAATGAAGAAGAGAGATTTTTTTTTTTTTTTTGAAAGACCGTAGAGAAAGTAGTTGGGGGAGGGAGAGCAAGAATAAATCAAGATAGAACATCTTCACTAGGGACCCGATTTAAAGGGGAACGCAAGCTAGCTATTATCCTTAGCTACTCATAAGAGTTGGGGGGCCACAGGCAGCCTCTATGACAGCCCGGGCTTCAGTTGGGGGTGTTTCAGTGTCTCTTAAGTCTCCCATTGGGCTTTGCTTCTCAGACTTTAGTATGGCCCTGTACCCCAAGCTTGCAGTCATTGCCTAGATTCCTCTACTCTGACTTAACATATATTTAAAACCTGGAATCCAAACATTCAAAAGACACGGAATTAGGTAGGACACACTTAAACCCAATTCTGATATTAAAGAGAGGGGAGCCGGGGTCTACCCACCTAAGCAAGGAGGAGCTGGGCCTGTCTGGGGAAAGACTGGGAGGGGCCGGTGCTTTATGCAAACTTTCCGACGCCTCTGGTTCACCGTGCCCCCTCCCCTGCTCTCTTCTAACCCGACGGCAGCAGTTTTTCTTCTTGACTTTTAGACTCAGTAATGGAAGGAAAGGAACCAATGCAGGGGTACGGTAATGGTCTGCCTTTTCAGGTAGACTCTCGGCCCTTTTTCTTCCAGGTTGGGCAAGGCCAGGGACCCGTGGGACTTGAGGACCGAAATTACCCAGGCGCAGGCCACCTGGAGCACGTAGTGTGGAAGCCGATTGTGACCAACCCGGAATGGGTAGTCTGAAAGTCGGGTGGTGCCCTCGCATGACCTGATGTACTTTTTTCTTTGCTACCCTCTCCCCCTAATTTTTTGACCATTTATCTCGTGAAACTCTCCTTTCCACCAGCATCCAGAATGTCACAAGCCCTGTGAAGTTTCGTTTACGTGGAAAAAAGGGCAGCTGCAGAGAGAAGCCCCTCATTCCTATTCCACCCCCACCCCTGGCAGACCGCTGGACATAAAGCTGCCTTTTGGGCGCGGTGTGTGTGTGTTGGAGGCTGCTTTGCTGGGCCACTGGGATCTTTCTGGAAGCGTTTGATCTCAGTCTGGTCAGGTTAGGACTGAGATTTCTGAGGCTCAGAGAAGGCTAAGTGTGGAAGATTAGGACGCCTGACCTCTGGACTGGTTGGAGTCTGGTGAAGGTGGGCATGCGAGGGTCCGAAGCCCCGAAGAGCCCAAAGCAGCCGCCAAGCGAGCCGAGACCCGCGTCCCTCTTCTATGGCTTGAGGTGCGGGACTCAGCTTTCCTCCAAGCAGTAGTTACTCTTTGAGAAGAGGCAGACTTTTCCTTACCGACTTTTCCTTACCGCTTGCAGGAGTCCCCTCAACGAGGAGCCAACTGAACTACCATACCAAGGCCTCCAAAAAACATAAGCAGAAGTGAATTCCACTAGGTGGAAGGAGTAGGGTCTGACACACAACCTCCACCCTTGCACACACACACACACACACACACACACACACACTCACCAGGGACAGAAACAGACACTCAGAGAAACACTACTGTCTGTTTTTAACTCTCTCTCTCTCTCTCTCTCTCTCTCTCTCTCTCTCTCTCTCTCTCTCTCTCTCTCATTAGCTCCAATCTCTGTATGGCAAAAGAAGGCAAAAATCCTCACACCGTCCTTTTCTGCCTCTGTGGGTGGGACGCTTGTCTCGTAGCATTTGTCTGGCGCCACATTCCCACATTCCGCAGACCAAAACCACTGAAAACCAGATCCACCTTCTGCATTTGCTGTCCTCTGCAGAAAGCAGGGAGGAACCTGGATTCGAAGAGTGTGCCACCCCGCTTTCCAGTCCCGCTGGGGCCAAACACATCAGGTTATGGGCGACGTCAAAGCCAAGTATTTAAGGAAGATTCTAGTAGACTCAGCCAAGGAAATCACTCCCTTATCTTCTCCCACTCCTCACCCCTTCAAGGATTGGAGGAAGCCTTAGCTCCAGCCCTCACAAATCTCTGATCCCCTTCAAACTTCAGAGGGGACCAAAAGAAAACCCTGGAACTCTGCAATTTTTTTCTCTGACTGTTGTCCCTCTCCAGGCCCTGACAGGGATGATGGCTGGACCAGACTGCACCAACAGAAAAGACAAGATAATATCCCGGGCAGGCTTTCTTTTTCTAGATACCAGAGAGCCAAGAACCCTGAAACTGGGCCCAGGTTCCTCTGCACAGGCTCACAGTTGTCTATTGAGGCTGGAGAGTCCTCAAGGTAAGAATGTCAGTCTTCAGCAGGGGATTTAAATTGAATTGAATTTGAATTGAATTATGGCACTTTAACCAGTTCAGGAATACCGCCTCCTCTTTCCAAGTTATGGCTTAAAAAAAAGAAAGAAAGAAAGAAAGAAAGAAAGAAAGAAAGAAAGAAAGAAAGAAAGAGAGAAAGAAAGAAAAAAGCAGACTGCCTGGTTAGGCTTGGGGCAAACGCCAAAAGAGGCCAGAAGCTTATGTGGAAGTTCCTTTCTAGCCCCTCCCCCTTTCTTTAAAGAACAGGTAAATGATACTTTGAGTTCAGTCTTTTCCCTACCATATAGTGACACTGCCTTGAAGAAGGTCCAGGGGCCCCTAAACATACAAGGCATTGCCTTCTCTCTTTTTCCGCCTCTGGGAGGTAGAGTAGCAACACATCCCACACCCAGTGGTCTTTGTGGAGAACTGGAGCTGGGTTCTAAGAACTCTACCTGAAGGTGCTGTGTTAGGGAGGGGAGATAAAAACCTGGATTTAACAGATCTTGAACACCATGGCATTTTCAAATGTCTTGATATCGTTCATGGTCTCCAACGCAAATGGAAGCTCCTCTATATGGCGTGTTCTCATCCTGCAGAGAGTTTCCCCTGAGTGGGATGCTCTTGGTAATCCTCCCACCTGGGTTCTCACAGAGCTGCGGGGACTCCTGCTCTCTCTCTGTCACCTTACAGCAAGCTCAGACTGTTGTACCTTGGAGCTCTTTGCTTCCTCCCCCTCCACCATTTTAGAAAGCACAGATAGACATTTCTATACCACAATTCCTCCTGATGCCCTCATTCTAGAGATGAGGCAGGTGGCAGGAAGAAAAGGAAAGACATTTGCTCAAGATCACCTGGTGATTGAATGAAAGGACCCATGTGAACCTTGGGATCCATGCCTTTGGAAGAATGCAAGAATACAAGCGCTTCCTCTTGATAGGCTTGTCCTGTAGGCTCTGATCAGGATCAAAGCTCATTGAGTTTTCACAGAGGAGAATTAAAGTCTCAAAACCATAGGCTTGGGTCTCCGCCCCCACCCCCCTGTGTTAAGCAGGGATGGAGATGGTGGAGTCTGTGTCCCTGAGAGGTTGTCTTTCCAGAGGTGGCAGGGAGTCCGCTGGTTGACACCCAGCTCCCCAGCTTGCAAAGTCTCAGGCTGTGCCGCAGCAGGGCTCTGAGGATCCCTGCACTATCTGTGGTACTTTTCAGCCCGCGTTGGTCATCTCTGTTATTCTGGGCAGTAAGCAGAACTGCAAAGGTACTTGGGGGTACTGAGGTACCAATGCTCCCTCCCTTTTCCTCCCCCCCCCAATCTAATCTCAGACTTAACTTTGGTGATGAAAGATAATAGGCATCGCCTGTCTTGGACCTCAGGGTTGTTCTACAAATGTCTTCACCACCTGGTGGTTGGTATGGCAAGTGGTTAGTGCACGTAGCTGGGAGCCAGTGCTCTTGGTCCTAGGCCAGCAAAGGAGGATTCGAATTAGCCCC